TTCCTCATTAAAGCGCAGCTGGAGCGACCGTAGTTGTCAGACCAGGATTCAAAAATGTCCCTTGGCATATCTCGTGCCTGTAATTTTGCCATTCTGGCTTTGCACTTCTTTTGAGGCCGGAACAAGACAAAACAAGCACACCTAAACCGCCAAACAACATGCTGGTCTTTTGATTTTGTCCGTGCCGTGCTGCCTAGGCTGGTTCCCTGTAAAAGTGTATTGGGACACGGGTCGCCTTGGCATGAAGTTGGTTGAGCAGGATGGAGTGTTGGTCGTAAGGACGGGGCATTTGACATGCATTGATCATTTTGGCCGCGTTGATTCAGCCCACCATGCGTCGATTCTCTTTTTGATATCTTTTGGAGAGGTGGGCTGCTGTCAGCTGGTAGGAGAACGCAAAAGGGCACATGGGCAGATGAGATGAAGCTGCGCATCGGGGATGAACTCGTGAGTATCAATGGACAAGCAGTGTCACAGCAGCTTTGTGGCACCATGCTTTCAGGGGCACTTGTTAAGTAGCAGATCGCCAGAAACGTGGACAAGTGCTGGGTGTTGAGCAATGTCTAGCATGCAAATTTTTTGTTTCTGCTGATTTCATTGCAAGGATGAGGGAGCATCTTGGTCGCTATAGCGAGACATTTCAGGGTGCGAGGGCGCATTGGTCGGGCATGGGCTAGCGAGCTGTGTCTCTGTCTTATTCTGTCTTCCTTTCAGCAACGGCTGATTGCCTGTACCACTGTACCTGTACTTCATCTCGAGGACAGTCTTGGAGTGTCCTTCCCCCAAAAGGTCGTATGCATCCGTACGCCCCGTGTGCAAACTTGCTTGCGCACAGAGAAACAAGCAGACAGAAGTATATTCGCACATGAAATGCATATGCAGAAACAGAATCACAGGCGGAATCATACATCTAAATGGTCCACATACCATCGCATACCACTACTTGCATTACAAACACCCCTCAACTCACATCACATGCATATGCAGATACTGACATAGAGACTTGCATGCAGATTGTGCAGCAACAAGTGCGCACACGTGCAAAGACTCACAAATACAAAATCAGGCACCACATGCCACATGCCCACATGCCCACTGTCGTCCATCAACCTGCTCAAATCCGAGATCCATCCAAGCATCCATACCCCTTTTGGATTTCAACGAGTTCGTGATTTACATCGGTTTACTATCCTTTACTCTACGCTCTTTGAATGTTTTTGATAGTTTTTGTGACTTGCGGTCTTGCAGGGCTTCAGAACTCTGATTCGACTGAGGGAGGACTGCAGAGATACGCTGCTATGGCGACGGCCTCTCCGTCTCACTTTCGCTCGTCTTTGTCGTGCTTCTGCTACCCCGCGCCTGCGGAATCGGTGTCTTGGTTGATCTAGGTATGATTCGATCTACTAATATATATATATATATATCTGTCTATCTGTCTATCTATCTATCTTATCTTATCTTATCTTGTCTTATCTTATCTTATCTTATCCTATCCTATCCTACCCTACCCTACCCTACCCAACCCTACCCTACCCTACCTACCTATCTATCTATCTGTCTGTCTATCTATCTGTCTGTCTATCTATCTATCTATCTATCTGTCTATCTATGTATCTATCTATCTATCTGTCTGTCTATCTATCTATCTATCTACCTATCTATCTATCTATCTTATCTTATCTTATCTTATCTTACCTTATCTTATCTTATCTTATCTTATCTTATCTTATCTATCTATCTATCTATCTATCTATCTTATCTATCTTATTTATCTATCTATCTATCTATCTTATCTATCTTATTTATCTATCTATCTATCTATCTTATCTATCTTATTTATCTATCTGCTCTATCTTATCTATCTTATCTATCTTATCTATCTTATCAATCTTATCTATCTTATCTATCTTATCTATCTTATCTATCTTATCAATCTTATCAATCTTATCAATCTTATCAATCTTATCAATCTTATCAATCTTATCAATCTTATCAATCTTATCAATCTTATCAATCTTATCAATCTTATCTATCTTATCTATCTTATCTATCTTATCTTTCTTATCTTTCTTATCTATCTTATCTATCTTATCTGTCTTATCTGTCTTATCTGTCTTATCTATCTTATCTATCTTATCTATCTTATCTGTCTTATCTGTCTTATCTATCTTATCTATCTTATCTATCTTATTTATCTATCTTATCTATCTTATCTATCTTATCAATCTTATCAATCTTATCAATCTTATCAATCTTATCAATCTTATCAATCTTATCAATATTATCTATCTTATCTATCTTATCTATCTAATCTATCCAATCTATCTTATCTATCTAATCTATCTAATCTATCTATCTATCTATCTACCTATCTATCTATTTTTCTATCCACCTATCTATTTTGCTATCCACCTATCTATCTATCTATCTATCTATCTATCTATCTATCTATCTGCCTGTCTATCTATCTATCTATCTATCTACCTACTGTAGATTTTGGCAGGTGGGCTGTACGGATCTGTACGGCTCTTCATGGAGCGTTCATGGCGTTTTGGCATCGACTGCCGGGCATGCCACCTTTCCACAGTCAGAATGATTTAACGACTGAGGACAGCAGCAAGATTGGATGAGGCAGGTGCGTTGTTGCCGGTAAACCCATGTAACATCATGTCACGAAAGCTTCTGCTAGCTGAAGTCCCTCTTGCTTTAGCAAGGTATCGGGGGGCTGGAATCTCCAATCGCGAGAAACTTCTCAGTTAACCCCCCTCCCCCCTGGCTGGTTCACAAGCAGTTTGGCCGTGGGCTCAATCCCCCCCGGGGACACCGTCAGCAACATCGGCAACATCGGCATCCTCTGCATGATTTGCATCGTCAATAGGGCATGCCTCATTTCTCTTCAATTCATTGATCTTTCATTCATTGATGCAGCGGCGCCCATGATTGGCATGTTCATTCATGGGTAGCCTTCATCTTTGCCTAGCTTCATTTTCATGTTGCGCGCGCACACCTTTTTCTCATCCTCTTTTTCGGTTTTGCACTGCGTTACTTCTTCCTGCGCTTCCAAAGTTCCACTCCGATGCCGAAAGTGGACCTTTGAATCTTCCCCAATCACTGGTCGTCATGTTGGCTATGCTGAATTTCCTCATCCTCTTCGTGCAACAGTACATCATGAATACATCCTCGCCCCCTTCAACATACATCGCCTCAATACGTAGGTCTGACCTTACCAACATGCCCCAGCTTCAGACCCGCTCATCCACGTTGACGAAAAAGCTGCGCAGCTGCGCAGCGCCCTTTGTGTTTTCATGCCAAGCTCCCTGCCAAGCTAGCTTTCGTCCCTTACCCATGGGCCTCAAGTAACCTAATAGCTTCAAAGGTGTGACATTTTGAACTTAAGCTTAGGGTGCGCGCGTTCACGTACAACGTACTCGAAGGTTAAAACTAGAATCTTTGCAAAATTGGCTGTAAGTGACTCAAGACACAACTACAATTCGAAAGAAAGGCAACTATGTCAGACTATTAAACTATATCCAAGTGGGATTGATCGATGATGGATGCCAAACACCAACCTTTCTATTATTTTCTATCTCTTTCTTAGAGACCTAGTAGCTGTAACAAGGCATTCCAAGACGCCATGCTTGGATAGGCACTTTCATTCTCACAGTCCCAGTTGCAGCTGCAAGATGCGCCGCGCCTTGGTGGCACAGCTTCGTGGCAGATGTTTTTGCAGATGCACACCTCAGAGTCCATCCACGACAGAGCTATGCAGAGCTATGCCATGCAGAGCTAGTAAAATCATAATGAATGTCTAAATGCCTATGATCTTTGTACAATATTTGTGATGGTTTGTGTGACCTTTGTGATGCGTTCCTGTGCTGCCAGAGGTTGCCCGAGGCGTGCTTGGGGGGATGCGGCTCAGTGACTTTAGCGCATGCCGAGAGGAGGAAAATTCGTATTTTTTGCATGGCTGATGGTCTGTCCTCAGCCCTGTCGACTGTCCAACCCTTGACAATCTTGATGTGTTCCACCATTCCCTGTCAAGATCAACATTTTTTGATATCGGGACTCGTGACCATGCTGTTGTGCAGGTGGTCCGTTCAAGAGCTGAAAGCAGCTTGTTTGCACGCTGCAAGTGGCAGTCCGCCTTGATCTTCCTTTTCATGCGCAAACCATTTCCAAAATCTATATTGCCAGAATGACCTCACACCAACATCTTGCTGAACCGTACTAGGCTTGGCCCAAAGGAAGGATGAACAAGAATTAGGAATGAGATGCGACATTCTTTTAGGCTTGGAAGTGAGGGCTGACGAGGTGGGCGAGGACTCAGCCTTTGACCCCCTTTGTCAGTCAAGACGGCCCTCAGGTTCTGAATGGTTCTGACATTGTGGAGACTTCCAGGCTTTTTGTGGCACCATCATGGCTCACTTCTGTCATGCTGGCAGGACAGGGCAGTGGATGCTGTCGTCACGGCCTTGTTGCATACTTTGGAGGATCCGGAAAAGAAGCAGGACACCTGGACACCTGCAGCACAATCAGCCTGAGCAAGCGTTTCTCAAACTCACAAAATTTGTTTTCAGTTTGGGCACCGGGCAAATCCAGGCAATCCAACCCGTTAGGGCTTGGTGGGGCAGTCTTGAGAAGCTCACAGATCAAATTCAACTGGTGGGAGGAGATCCAAAGCAATGCAAGAACTGAAGATCCTATGCATGAACTGGCTGCAGAGGTGCACGAAGAGGAGCAGAAAACAAACAAAAGGTTTCATTTTCGAACCAGACTGCCATCAGAGCGCCATAGCTGGCCTGCGGTGCCCGCAGGTGCATAGCTGGCCTCGTTGTTTCCAAGAGTTTTAGTTTTATGAATGTTGTATGGGTATTCTATGATAACCTATGATATGTATTCTAACCATGATTAATTATGTCTATATTTTTCTATGTTTTTCTTGTGTGGGGTGCATGTGTTGCAGTGGACACTCTTGCAGGACACTCAGATCACAGATCCCGCGGAGCCGGCAAAGCCAATAGGGTTGATAGAACCAGAGCCATCGCAACCGTCAGAACCTGCGGATCCGACGCTTCTGGCCGACGTAGAGTCGCGTGAGCCACGTGAGCGTCAGTACAGCGATTTCGAGGAATTTGAGAATGACGAGCCATCTGAGTACGAAGATGTTTTTGAGATCGACGACGAAGAGAACACTCCTGCAAACAAGGCACGACTGCAAGTGGTTCTTTGTAATTTCTCGCTTTCCCAAATGCTAACATTAGAATCGTTTGAGTCCGATCCAAAATAGTTAGTTTGGCAGCCTTTCCTTGCATCCATCTTGAACTCCTGACAAATTTGTCCTCAAACTCCGATGTTCATGGGCAAAATGTTGCAGGAGTCTGGCAAGAGCTCAAATCCAGAGAGTGGCTATCCAGGCTGGAGCCTGATCCTAGCAGCACTCCGCCGCTAAAACGGCATGCTGGAACTTGGGAGGCACTACGCCAGCGATAGCAGCTCCTTCTATGGCAAACCTGGAGACGGAGGTGTGTTCGGGGTTGGCAAGTGCAAAAGATGTGCAAAGATGTGCAAAGCAAGTGAATAGAATCTGAATAGAATCTGAATAGAACAGACAGAGCTTTCAGCTTCGCGAGCTTTGGCCGTAGGCCAGTCATGAGCGAAGAGTTGTCTTTGCTGCCTGGGCCTCACTGAACTGGGTCAAAGGTGTTGCTGTGTTCTAAGTGCTGCCTCCGAGCAGGAGACTAGAGAGGATTTGAACATCGTCCTTGAAGGCGAGCTTGACATAGCTTGACATTTTTTCAGGGGCATACACCTGCATCAGCATCTCGCAACCAAGCCGCATTGTCCAACTTTTGGGGTGTGTCGTGCGTGACTGTCTTGCCGTCAAGTTCTGAAACTTTCCTGGCCAGGCAGAATAGGTCAGGGAGACACCAATGCACAGGCTGGCAAGCATCGGCAAGCATATCAGATATATCAGCAGAATTCCCCTAGTAGCTTCAGAAGCTTCAGATCCATGTCAGCTGCCCAAGACATGAGGCTAATCATCCTTCACTAGAAAAAAAGGTCAGCTTCTCTGATGCCGATGCCTCAGCATTCCACGCGTGCGTGGTTGTGTTGCCTTTGCGGCTGTGCCGCTATGATACGCTATGCGTTGCATCGCTGGCAAACTTTGTCCAGGATGCTGGTGTGGATTCAGCAACTGCAAAGGCCATGAGAAAAGGCACGGCAAGAGTCTCACAGGAGTGATGGGATAGTGATGCATGATGATGCATAATGATGCATAGTGCCCGGGTTTAAGGATGTTGAATGGATGATTCGAGTTATTAGAGCACCTATCAGAGCCTATGTGGTGGAAATTGCTGTGGGCATCATAAAGGTGAGCTACTACTTCGAAAGACAATCGCTCACTTACTGTAGAGCGCACGCGCGCACACACGAACACTCAATTGAAGTTCCTTGGGGCCTGCGGGCTGATTCTTTTGTTTGGGAGGGACAGTTTAGTTTGGTCACCAGAATTTCCTTGACAACCTCTGTGGATCTCTGGATATGTCAAAAAAGACCGGACCATCGCCAAAGGCACAGGCTTTGTTTCACAAGAAGACTTGCCAGACTCGGAGGACGACGAGGAAGATGAGACAGATGAGATACAGGCAGGGAAAGCAGAACTTGCATGACCTTGCTCCATCTTCCATCTTGGTGTGAAACTCTCTGGAGTTACTTGCTTCGGGGATGTTTGGGATGTTTGGATGTTTGGGGATGTTTGACGAGGTTTCTGGCTGTTGCTGGATAGTTGTGGATGTTGGATGATGGATGCTTATGGATGCTTATGGATGCTTATGGATGCTTATGGATGCTTATGGATGCTTATGGATGCTTATGGATGCTTATGGATGCTTATCGTCGCCTGTCAGATCAAGGTGTTTTTTGCTGGCAACATTGCAGCATTGACTGTGAGGCTCCACCAGGTTGTGGTGAGCGGAAAGTCAGTTTCTCACAGGCAAGCTAGCTTTTCGCTTGCTGTGTGGCCGTGCAGCAGGATGCAACAAGTCTCTTCCTCTCTTTGACCGGATTTCCAGGAGATTTTCGGATGGTTTTTGATTCCGATCTGGCTGAGGAGGCTGGTACAGACTCGGAGCAGGTTCAAGCAATGAGAAAAGGCGCGGTGTTTTTCTATGTTTTTCTTGTTGCTTTTCGTTTTCGTTTCTCCTTTAGATTCCTTTGGATGAGATTTCCCTCAATTCCTCTTGGTCAGGCACAGGCTTCGTACCCATGAGGGACTTGCCAGATTCAGATGATGAGGACAGCAAGGCAGAGTAGGGCCAGGTTAAAATGATTTAAAATGAATTGAATATGTAGGCAGATGAATGGCAGATGAATGGCAGATGAATGGCAGATGTTGGTGTTTGAAGCAGGGAAGAACAATCTTCGCACCCTCAGTCCTCCAATCACCATAATTCACCATTTCTTTAGTGTCGTCCCATGTCGTCCCCAAAGCCATTGCCTCTTAGCATTCTGAGCTGTTTGGCTCCCGGTGAAGGACCCTGAAGACCAGGAAGCGGAAGAGGCACGGGCCTTTGGGTGCAACGTTATAATACGTTATACCAGGTTGGCGTGCCCTATGCCTCACCATGTTAGTCGCTCCAACCACAGCCTGTCGCAAGCACCTTGGTAGCTTGGCATTTGCTTCCGTCAATTCTGAACACGTCTGAACTTTGAAGGCTCCTCCTGCTTCCTCTGAGCGGAAAGTCAGCTTCTCTCAGGCGCTGAGATGCCTTTCCAATTTGTTCAGGTGCCATTCCATTTCATTCATGTCAACATCAGATGTAGAAGCTGACCGATCTGTATCTAAAGCTCAGGAGGCTGGCACAGACTCAGAGACCGCAAGAGCAATGCGGAAAGGCGAGCCAGAGAAGCCATGAGAAGACTGCCCGTAGCATGATTTCCAATGGTTTGTAAATCTTAAAGCGGATTAAAGTTTGTTTGTTAAAGATTTGGTCTCCAGAGTTTTGCATTGCATCAGCCCTGTGACAACCTTCTATGTCTTGCTTGGAGCACTTGCTTTCCAGCGATCAGCAGTGGTTGGTCCTGGTTGCAGGCACTGGCTATGTGCCCATGTCTCAAATTGCTCGCTTGGGAAGTGATGAAGACACCGCAGACGAGGTTCCAAGAGAATTTGATCCGTAGAATTTCAGGGTACTCTATGGAGTGCTGATTGCCACGGGCGTTGCAATGTGGGGCCGTTGCAGAGTGCTGATGTGGTAGGTGGATGAGATCCGGCATGTCAGTTTCTCTCCAGCAAGGGTCCTAGCTCCAGAGCGAAGCTGTCGGGAGTTGTCACATAAAGATACATAAAGCATTCATGAACCATTGCTATGCATATGATTGCGTATAACCGTATAACCATAATTTTGCAGGTGTGATTTTGGTCATGTTTCCCATTTACCTTTCCAAATTGATGAATCGGGGCAGGACACTGCAACATCAAATGAGACAAATGCTTCCCATCGGAAGGGCCTTGGCCTTACGGATATAGCTCAGGATTCAGGATGCTTCATGATGCTCATGGCACGGTGGACAAAAGCTGCAACCTGCTTGATCACATGTCGGAAAGGTACGGGCTACGTGCAAATGTCAGACCTGCCTGATGATGAAGACGAGGTGTCGTGGGGGTTCAGGTGTTGTGGTGTTGTGGTGGTGTTGTGGTTGACTGTGGGCTCATGTGGGGCACCACGATGCTGAATCCCTTGCAATACAGGGCAGGTCGGAGTGTGATTCCGCATGCCGCATGTCAGGAAGGGGTGGATGAAATAGCTGACAAGAAAGTCAGCTTTGCCGTATGCTCCTGAGGGGGTTGCCGTTGTTGGATCGTTTACACAGGGCTGAGGATGCTGCAGATGGATCGAACCACAGATGACTTAGGATGCACAAGACCCAGCAAGCAAGAACGGTTCTCAAGCCTCATCCACTCGCAAAGGCGAAAGAGAAAGCGAGAGAGAGGGAGAGGGAGGGGAATTTGGCTAATTCATCTTGGATCAGTTTGTTGCAGGAACTGGCTACGTGGCCACGCGGAATTTGCCAGAGTCGGAGGACGAGGAAGATGAGACAGATGAGATACAGGCAGGGAAAGCAGAACCTGCACGACCTTGCTCCATCTTCCATCTTGGTGTGAAACTCTCTGGAGTTACTTGCTTCGGGGATGTTTGGGGATGTTTGACGGTGTTTCTGGCTGTTGCTGGATAGTTGTGGATGTTGATTGGATTATGGATGCTTATGGATGCTTATGGTCGCCTGTCAGATCAAGGTGTTTTTTTGCTGGCAACATTGCAGCATTGACTGTGAGGCTCCACCAGGTTGTGGTGAGCGGAAAGTCAGTTTCTCACAGGCAAGCTAGTTTTTCGCTTGCTGTGTGGCCGTGCAGCAGGATGCAACAAGTCTCTTCCTCTCTTTGACCGGATTTCCAGCAGATTTTCGGATGGTTTTTGATTCCGATCTGGCTGAGGAGGCTGGTACAGACTCGGAGCGGGTTCAAGCAATGAGAAAAGGCGCGGTGTTTTTCTATGTTTTTCTTGTTGCTTTTCGTTTTCGTTTCTCCTTTAGATTCCTTTGGATGAGATTTCCCTCAATTCCTCTTGGTCAGGCACAGGCTTCGTACCCATGAGGGACTTGCCAGATTCAGATGATGAGGACAGCAAGGCGGAGTAGGGCCAGGTTAAAATCAATGAATTGAATATGTAGGCAGATGAATGGCAGATGAATGGCAGATGTTGGTGTTTGAAGCAGGGAAGAACAATCTTCGCACCCTCAGTCCTCCAATCACCATAATTCACCATTTCTTTAGTGTCGTCCCATGTCGTCCCCAAAGCCATTGCCTCTTAGCATTCTGAGCTGTTTGGCTCCCGGTGAAGGACCCTGAAGACCAGGAAGCGGAAGAGGCACGGGCCTTTGGGTGCAACGTTATAATACGTTAATATTATACCAGGTTGGCGTGCCCTATGCCTCACCATGTTAGTCGCTCCAACCACAGCCTGTCGCAAGCACCTTGGTAGCTTGGCATTTGCTTCCGTCAATTCTGAACACGTCTGAACTTTGAAGGCTCCTCCTGCTTCCTCTGAGCGGAAAGTCAGCTTCTCTCAGGCGCTGAGATGCCTTTCCAATTTGTTCAGGTGCCATTCCATTTCATTCATGTCAACATCAGATGTAGAAGCTGACCGATCTGTATCTAAAGCTCAGGAGGCTGGCACAGACTCAGAGACCGCAAGAGCAATGCGGAAAGGCGAGCCAGAGAAGCCATGAGAAGACTGCCCGTAGCATGATTTCCAATGGTTTGTAAATCTTAAAGCGGATTAAAGTTTGTTTGTTAAAGATTTGGTCTCCAGAGTTTTGCATTGCATCAGCCCTGTGACAACCTTCTATGTCTTGCTTGGAGCACTTGCTTTCCAGCGATCAGCAGTGGTTGGTCCTGGTTGCAGGCACTGGCTATGTGCCCATGTCTCAAATTGCTCGCTTGGGAAGTGATGAAGACACCGCAGACGAGGTTCCAAGAGAATTTGATCCGTAGAATTTCAGGGTACTCTATGGAGTGCTGATTGCCACGGGCGTTGCAATGTGGGGCCGTTGCAGAGTGCTGATGTGGTAGGTGGATGAGATCCGGCATGTCAGTTTCTCTCCAGCAAGGGTCCTAGCTCCAGAGCGAAGCTGTCGGGAGTTGTCACATAAAGATACATAAAGCATTCATGAACCATTGCTATGCATATGATTGCGTATAACCGTATAACCATAATTTTGCAGGTGTGATTTTGGTCATGTTTCCCATTTACCTTTCCAAATTGATGAATCGGGGCAGGACACTGCAACATCAAATGAGACAAATGCTTCCCATCGGAAGGGCCTTGGCCTTACGGATATAGCTCAGGATTCAGGATGCTTCATGATGCTCATGGCACGGTGGACAAAAGCTGCAACCTGCTTGATCACATGTCGGAAAGGTACGGGCTACGTGCAAATGTCAGACCTGCCTGATGATGAAGACGAGGTGTCGTGGGGGTTCAGGTGTTGTGGTGTTGTGGTGGTGTTGTGGTTGACTGTGGGCTCATGTGGGGCACCACGATGCTGAATCCCTTGCAATACAGGGCAGGTCGGAGTGTGATTCCGCATGCCGCATGTCAGGAAGGGGTAGATGAAATAGCTGACAAGAAAGTCAGCTTTGCCGTATGCTCCTGAGGGGGTTGCCGTTGTTGGATCGTTTACACAGGGCTGAGGATGCTGCAGATGGATCGAACCACAGATGACTTAGGATGCACAAGACCCAGCAAGCAAGAACGGTTCTCAAGCCTCATCCACTCGCAAAGGCGAAAGAGAAAGCGAGAGAGAGGGAGAGGGAGAGGGAGGGGAACTTGGCTAATTCATCTTGGATCAGTTTGTTGCAGGAACTGGCTACGTGGCCACGCGGAATTTGCCAGAGTCGGAGGACGAGGAAGATGAGACAGATGAGATACAGGCAGGGAAAGCAGAACCTGCACGACCTTGCTCCATCTTCCATCTTGGTGTGAAACTCTCTGGAGTTACTTGCTTCGGGGATGTTTGGGGATGTTTGACGGTGTTTCTGGCTGTTGCTGGATAGTTGTGGATGTTGATTGGATTATGGATGCTTATGGATGCTTATGGTCGCCTGTCAGATCAAGGTGTTTTTTTGCTGGCAACATTGCAGCATTGACTGTGAGGCTCCACCAGGTTGTGGTGAGCGGAAAGTCAGTTTCTCACAGGCAAGCTAGTTTTTCGCTTGCTGTGTGGCCGTGCAGCAGGATGCAACAAGTCTCTCCCTCTCTTTGACCGGATTTCCAGCAGATTTTCGGATGGTTTTTGATTCCGATCTGGCTGAGGAGGCTGGTACGGACTCGGAGCGGGTTCAAGCAATGAGAAAAGGCGCGGTGTTTTTCTATGTTTTTCTTGTTGCTTTTCGTTTTCGTTTCTCCTTTAGATTCCTTTGGATGAGATTTCCCTCAATTCCTCTTGGTCAGGCACAGGCTTCGTACCCATGAGGGACTTGCCAGATTCAGATGATGAGGACAGCAAGGCGGAGTAGGGCCAGGTTAAAATGAATTGAATATGTAGGCAGATGAATGGCAGATGAATGGCGGATGTTGGTGTTTGAAGCAGGGAAGAACAATCTTCGCGCCCTCAGTCCTCCAATCACCATAATTCACCATTTCTTTAGTGTCGTCCCATGTCGTCCCCAAAGCCATTGCCTCTTAGCATTCTGAGCTGTTTGGCTCCCGGTGAAGGACCCTGAAGACCAGGAAGCGGAAGAGGCACGGGCCTTTGGGTGCAACGTTATAATACGTTATACCAGGTTGGCGTGCCCTATGCCTCACCATGTTAGTCGCTCCAACCACAGCCTGTCGCAAGCACCTTGGTAGCTTGGCATTTGCTTCCGTCAATTCTGAACACGTCTGAACTTTGAAGGCTCCTCCTGCTTCCTCTGAGCGGAAAGTCAGCTTCTCTCAGGCGCTGAGATGCCTTTCCAATTTGTTCAGGTGCCATTCCATTTCATTCATGTCAACATCAGATGTAGAAGCTGACCGATCTGTATCTAAAGCTCAGGAGGCTGGCACAGACTCAGAGACCGCAAGAGCAATGCGGAAAGGCGAGCCAGAGAAGCCATGAGAAGACTGCGCGTAGCATGATAGATCTTTTTCCCCAAACACTGTGTCCACACTGAGGGGTTCTTACGGTAGTTGTAGAGGCCTGTGCTTGATCAGGGTGCTCCAGCTGGGGGCGGCATTTTTCCTGTAAATTTCCGTTTAGAATGGTATAAAATGGTTTTGTGACATGTTGATATGCGTTTTGACTGTGCAGGCTCGCACAAAGTGTGGGCCGCGGTTCTGGGCCGCGGCCCTTTTCCTGTGAATTTCCGTATAAAGCGGCTCTTGTGACACGGTTCTGGGCCGCAGCATTTTTCCCGTCAATTTCGTATCGTATAAAATGGCTCTTGTGACATGTGGATGTGTGTTTCGACTGCGCAGGCTCGCACAAAGTCTGCGCCGCGGTTCTGGGCCGCGGCATTTTTCCCGTAAATTTCCGTATAAATGGCTCTTGTGACATGTGGATGTGTGTTTCGACTGCGCAGGCTCGCACAAAGTCTGCGCCGCGGTTCTGGGCCACGGCATTTTTCCCGTAAATTTCCGTATAAATGGCTCTTGTGACATGTGGATGTGTGTTTCGACTGCGCAGGCTCGCACAAAGTCTGCGCCGCGGTTCTGGGCCGTGGCATTTTTCCCGTAAATTTCCGTATAAATGGCTCTTGTGACATGTGGATGTGTGTTTCGACTGCGCAGGCTCGCACAAAGTCTGCGCCGCGGTTCTGGGCCGCGGCATTTTTCCCGTAAATTTCCGTATAAATGGCTCTTGTGACATGTGGATGTGTGTTTCGACTGCGGTTCTGGCGCCGCGTTCGGCATTTTTCCCGTAAATTTCCGTATAAATGGCTCTTGTGACATGTGGATGTGTGTTTCGACTGCGCAGGCTCGCACAAAGTCTGCGCCGCGGTTCTGGGCCGCGGCATTTTTCCCGTAAATTTCCGTATAAATGGCTCTTGTGACATGTGGATGTGTGTTTCGACTGCGCAGGCTCGCACAAAGTCTGCGCCGCGGTTCTGGGCCGCGGCATTTTTCCCGTAAATTTCCGTCAAAAGCGGCTCTTGTGACATGTCCAAGTGCATTTTGACTGCGCAGGCTCGCACAAAGTGTGGGTCCCGTCTTTGGCCTCAACATCAACATCATCATCTTCCTCCCCCTTGACCTCATGATCCTCGACACATCAACCTACACCTCATCTTCCGCAACATCAACATTCGTTATCTTCCTGTTTATCATGCTTCTCCACATTATCCTCCTCAACATCATCATCTTCCTCCTTCTCCACATCATCATCCTCCACCTTCGCATCCTCCAGTGCATCTTGGGCATTATTATCCTCATCCTTATCGTCCTCAACATCATCATCCTCAACATCATCCTACTGCACATCATCATCCTCAACATCATCGTCCGCAACATTATCATCCTCATCCTCATCATCATCATCATCATCATCACCATCAGCATCACCATCATCATTATCATCATCATCATCATCGTCATCATCATGATCATCATCATCATCATCATCATCATCACCATCAACATTGTCATACATTATCCTCCCAGGGTCTCTTGCCGGGACCATTAAGTTTTTTTTTAAAGATTTGGTCTTCAGAGTTTTGCATTGCATCAGCCCTGTGGCAACCTTCTATGTCTTGCTTGGAGCACTTGCTTTCCAGCGATCAGCAGTGGTTGGTCCTGGTTGCAGGCACTGGCTATGTGCCCATGTCTCAAATTGCTCGCTTGGCAAGTGATGAAGACACCGCAGACGAGGTTCCAAGAGAATTTGATCCGTAGAATTTCAGGGTACTCTATGGAGTGCTGATTGCCATGGGCGTTGCAATGTGGGGCCGTTCCAGAGTGCTGATGTGGTAGGTGGATGAGATCCGGCATGTCAGTTTCTCTCCAGCAAGGGTCCTAGCTCCAGAGCTAAGCTGTCGGGAGTTGTCACATTGACATACAGATACATAAAGCATTTCATGAACCATTGCTATGCATATGATTGCGTACCAGTAGTACCCGCACGAGGCGGGGCGGAAGTTGCCTTGGGTATATCTATAAGACCTTTTTCATCTATAGAATTTGCATGCGCCGTGCGCCAGCCAGGCCCGTGCGTGCGTGCTTTGTACGAAGCTGTTGCACAGATGTTGTCCAAGAACATGACCTGCGCACGACCCCGGCGCAATGCAACGCCAAGCGAACACTTTCCTCACACTTCACAGTGCACGCTTCACACCCTGCACTTCGCACTTCACACACGCACTTCGCACTCGACATTTCGTCTCACGTCAAATCACGTGAGCTCTTCTCACCTCATCTCGGCTCTTCTCATCTCTTCTCATCTCATCCCATCTCTTCTCACATGTCATCAAAGTAAGTTCTTCTCAACTGTTTTCATCTCATCCGAGCACTGATCAACCTTTCTCATCTCCTCGAAGTTCCTCTCAACTCATCTTAGCTGTTCTGCACGCCAGAAAGCTCTTAATTACTGTCAGAGAGAAGTCTTTTGCACAAAAAAACCATTGGGCGCAGAAAGTTTCTGCACACAGACGCTTGAGACACAGATGCATTTAGACAGAAAAGCCTTTCCGAAATACTTTGTACTACAAAGCTTGCACAAAGCACTTCCCAGTACTACTTTGTACTACAAGGCTTGCACAAAGCACGTCCCAGTACTACTTTGTACTACGAAGCTTGCACAAAGTCGTTCCCAGTACTACTTTGTACTACAAAGCTTGCACAAAGCACTTCCCTGTACTACTTTGTACCACAAAGCTTGCACAAAGCACTTCCCAGTTCTACTTTGTACTACAAAGCTTGCACAAAGTCCTTCCCAGTTCTACTTTGTACTACGAAGCTGCACAAAGCATTTCCCAGTACTACTTTGTACCACAAAGCTTGCACAAAGCACTTCTCAGTACTACTTTGCACTACAAAGCATGCACAAAGCACGTTCCAGTACTACTTTGTGCTACAAAGCTTGCACAAAGCACGTTCCAGTACTACTTTGTACTACAAAGCTTGCACAAAGCACTTCCCAGTACTACTTTGTACTACAAAGCTTGCACAAAGCACTTCCCAGTACTACTTTGTACTCCAAAGCTTGCACAGAGCACTTTCCAGTACTACTTTGTACTACAAAGCTTGCACAAAAGCACTTCCCACTACTACTTTGTACTAAAAAGCTTGCACAAAGCACGTTCCAGTACTACTTTGTACTACAAAGCTTGCACAAGGCACTTCCCAGTACTACTTTGCACTACGAAGCTTGCACAAAGTCCTTCCCAGTACTACTTTGTACTACAAAGCTTGCGCAAGTAGGTCGCAGCACTACTTTGTACTACAAACTTTGCCCAAAGTATGTCCCAGGACTTCTCTGTACTACAATGCTTGCAAAAAGAAAGCTTTTACACACAGCAAATTCTTTCGTAACGCTTTTACACACAGCAAGCTTTTACACACAAAATCTTTTACATACAGCAAGCTTTTACCAAAAAAAGTGTTTACACAGAGAAGCTGTCTTGCACATAATGACAGTAGGATTTGCAGCTCCAAAACCGGATGGATCTCGGCGTCAAAGCAAAAAAACACGATTTTGAAGCACTTTTTAAAAGGAATTTTAAAAGGAAAATCACCGGCGCCAAAGTTGAAACATCTGCTGACAAATCACAATCGCAGCCTTGATGCAGCCACTCCGATACGATTTACGATGTCCAGCTGCAAAAGACACTAGTATTACGCATGCAGCCGCGGCACCAAGCAACCTTGACGCAGCCATTACATTGCGATCTCCAGATACTGAATTGCAAAACACAATAGAACTATGCGCAACGGCATGAGATATTGCAGCTCCAAATTTCGGCACCAAAGCAAAAAAATCACGATTTTGAAGCACTTTTTAATAGGAATTTTAAAAGGAAAATCACCAGCGCCAAAATTGAAAAATTTGCTGACAAATCACTATCGCAGCCTTGATGCAGCCACTCCAATACGATTTACGATGCCCAGCTGCAAAAGACAATAGTAACTATAGTATTACGCATGCAGCCGCGGCACCAAGCAACTTTCATGCAGCCATCACAATGCATTTTGCAGCATGAATCTACGCACATGGCAACACCAGATGACAACAATCATGCAGCCATTCCAATGCGATCTGCAACCATTGATTCAAGAAACGCATAGAACTACGCACACATGAACAACCACGCCTTGCAGAACACAGAGCAAGGAACCAATTACGCTCGGAACGATCCAAGCCGCAACCGCCACACATAGGAGGTACCTTTCATCGCCGGCTGCAGCCACTTTACACAGAAAAACGCAAGGTTTCGTGCTCCGGCTTCCTCCCCAACACAAGCCCATGCAACATTCATGCAGCCATCACAATGTGTTTTGCAGCACCACGTACACATCCATGCAGCCATTACAATGCGATTTGCATCCACTCGATCCAGAACACAGAGGAGGAACCGATTGACCTCGAAACGATCCAAACCGCAACCGCCGCACACAGGAGGTACCTTTCATCGCTGGCTGCAGCCACTTTACACGGAAAAACACAAGGTTTCGTTCTCCGGCTTCCTCCCCAACACAAGCCCCATGCAACATTCATGCAGCCATCACAATGCATTTTGCAGCATTCCCTTCATCACCACTTCCCTTCGTCACCACTTCCCTTCCTCACCACTTCCCTTCGTCACCATTTCCCATCATCAGCACTTCCCTTCCTCACCACTTCCCTTCGTCACCACTTCCCTTAGTCACCACGCCCCAAAGTCACCACACTCCCTTCGTCACCACTTCCCAATGTCGCCACACTCCCTTCGTCACCACTTCCCTTCCTCACCACTTCCCTTCCTCACCACTTCCCTTCGTCACATTTTCCCTAGGTCACCACTGCCCTTCGTCACCACTCTGTGTCATAGCCTATTATTCTTTTGTGATGTATTGTTATGTGATGTCAAGTCTCACACCGCCCTTCATCAATGTCAAGTCTCACAATTCTATTTGTCCGTAACTCGGAAGACTGCTTCCCAACTTCCTTTGATAACCATAATTTTGCAGGTGTGATTTTGGTCATGTTTCCCATTTCGCAACCTTTCCAAACTGATGAATCGGGGCAGGACACTGCAACATCAAATGAGACAAATGCTTCCCATCGGAAGGGCCTTGGCCTTACGGATATAGCTCAGGATTCAGGATGCTTCATGATGCTCATGGCACGGTGGACAAAAGCTGCAACCTGCTTGATCAAATGTCGGAAAGGTACGGGCTACGTGCAAATGTCAGACCTGCCTGATGATGAAGACGAGGTGTCGTGGGGGTTCAGGTGTTGTGGTGTTGTGGTGGTGTTGTGGTTGACTGTGGGGTCATGTGGGGCACCACGATGCTGAATCCCTTGCAATACAGGGCAGGTCGGAGTGTGATTCCGCATGCCGCATGTCAGGAAGGGGCGGATGAAATAGCTGACAAGAAAGTCAGCTTTGCCGTATGCTCCTGAGGGGGTTGCCGTTGTTGGATCGTTTACACAGGGCTGAGGATGCTGCAGATGGATCGAACCACAGATGACTTAGGATGCACAAGACCCAGCAAGCAAGAACGGTTCTCAAGCCTCATCCACTCGCAAAGGCGAAAGAGAAAGCGAGAGAGAGGGAGAGGGAGAGGGAGGGGAATTTGGCCAATTCATCTTGGATCAGTTTGTTGCAGGAACTGGCTACGTGGCCACGCAGAATTTGCCAGAGTCGGAGGACGAGGAAGATGAGACAGATGAGATACAGGCAGGGAAAGCAGAACTTGCATGACCTTGCTCCATCTTCCACCTTGGTGTGAAACTCTCTGGAGTTACTTGCTTCGGGGATGTTTGGGGATGTTTGACGATGTTTCTGGCTGTTGCTGGATAGTTGTGGATGTTGGATGATGGATGCTTATGGATGCTTCTGGATGCTTATGGATGCTTATGGATGCTTATGGTCGCCTGTCAGATCAAGGTGTTTTTCTGGCAACATTGCAGCATTGACTGTGAGGCTCCACCAGGTTGTGGTGAGCGGAAAGTCAGTTTCTCACAGGCAAGCTAGTTTTTCGCTTGCTGTGTGGCCGTGCAGCAGGATGCAACAAGTCTCTTCCTCTCTTTGACCGGATTTCCAGCAGATTTTCGGATGGTTTTTGATTCCGATCTGGCTGAGGAGGCTGGTTCAGACTTGGAGCGGGTTCAATCAATGAGAAAAGGCGCGGTGTTTTTCTATGTTTTTCTTGTTGCTTTTCGTTTTCGTTTCTCCTTTAGATTCCTTTGGATAAGATTTCCCTCAATTCCTCTTGGTCAGGCACAGGCTTCGTACCCATGAGGGACTTGCCAGATTCAGATGATGAGGACAGCAAGGCGGAGTAGGGCCAGGTTACAATGAATTGAATATGTAGGCAGATGATGGCAGATGAATGGCAGATGTTGGTGTTTGAGGCAGGGAAGAACAATCTTCGCACCCTCAGTCCTCCAATCACCATAATTCACCATTTCTTTAGTGTCGTCCCATGTTGTCCCCAAAGCCATTGCCTCTTAGCATTCTGAGCTGTTTGGCTCCCGGTGAAGGACCCTGAAGACCAGGAAGTGGAAGAGGCACGGGCCTTTGGGTGCAACGTTATAATACGTTATACCAGGTTGGCGTGCCCTATGCCTCACCATGTTAGTCGCTCCAACCACAGCCTGTGATACTGCAAGCACCTTGGTAGCTTGGCATTTGCCTCCGTCAATTCTGAACACGTCTGAACTTTGAAGGCTCCTCCTGCTTCCTCTGAGCGGAAAGTCAGCTTCTCTCAGGCGCTGAGATGCCTTTCCAATTTGTTCAGGTGCCATTCCATTTGATTCATGTCAACATCAGATGTAGAAGCTGACCGATCTGTATCTAAAGCTCAGGAGGCTGGCACAGACTCAGAGACCGCAAGAGCAATGCGGAAAGGCGAGCCAGAGAAGCCATGAGAAGACTGCGCGTAGCATGATTTCCAATGGTTTGTAAATCTTAAAAAAGATTAAAGTTTGTTAAAGATTTGGTCTCCAGAGTTTTGCGTTGCATCAGCCCTGTGACAACCTTCTATGTCTTGCTTGGAGCACTTGCTTTCCAGCGATCAGCAGTGGTTGGTCCTGGTTGCAGGCACTGGCTATGTGCCCATGTCTCAAATTGCTCGCTTGGGAAGTGATGAAGACACCGCAGACGAGGTTCCAAGAGAATTTGATCCGTAGAATTTCAGGGTACCCTATGGAGTGCTGATTGCCATGGGCGTTGCAATGTGGGGCCGTTCCAGAGTGCTGATGTGGTAGGTGGATGAGATCCGGCATGTCAGTTTCTCTCGAGCAAGGGTCCTAGCTCCAGAGCTAAGCTGTCGGGAGTTGTGACATTGACACACAGATACATAAAGCATTTCATGAACCATTGCTATGCATATGATTGCGTATAACCATAATTTTGCAGGTGTGATTTTGGCAATGTTTCCCATTTCGCAACCTTTCCAAACTGATGAATCGGGGCAGGACACTGCAACATCAAATGAGACAAATGCTTCCCATCGGAAGGGCCTTGGCCTTACGGATATATAGCTCAGGATTCAGGATGCTTCATGATGCTCATGGCACGGTGGACAAAAGCTGCAACCTGCTTGATCACATGTCGGAAAGGTACGGGCTACGTGCAAATGTCAGACCTGCCTGATGATGAAGACGAGGTGTCGTGGGGGTTCAGGTGTTGTGGTGTTGTGGTGGTGTTGTGGTTGACTGTGGGGTCATGTGGGGGCTACGTATTTTTCCGGGGATTTTTTTTCAGATTTCCCGGGGAATTTTTTTCAGAAATCTATTCGCAGGCCACGCAGGGAACAGGCAAGCAAGCAAGCAAGCAAGCAAGCAAGCCAGCCAGCCAGCAAGCAAGCAAGCAAGCCAGCGAGCAAGCAAGCAAGCAAGCCAGCAAGCAAGCAAGCCAGCCAGCCAGCAAGCAAGCAAGCAAGGCAGCAAGCAAGCCAGCCAGCCAGCAAGCCAGCAAGCCAGTGAGCAAGCAAGCAATCAAGCAATCAAGCCAGCCAGCCAGCCAGCAAGCAAGCAAGGCAGCAAGCAAGCCCGCAAGCAAGCAAGCCAACCAACCAGCTGACCCACCCACCCACGCACCCCCCCACCCACCCCCAACAACAACAACAACAACAACCCAACCACACCAACACCACACCACACGCAACAACCCCCACCAACCCCAACAACAACAACAACAACAACAACAACAACAACAACAACAACAACAACAACAACAACAACAACCACGACGACGACGACGACGACGACGACGACGACGACAACGACAACGACAACGACAACGACAACGACAACGACAACGACAACGACAACGACAACGACAACGACAGCGACAGCGACAGCGACAGCGACAGCGACAGCGACAGCGACAGCGACAGCGACAGCGACAGCGACAGCGACAGCGACAGCGACAACGACAACGACAACGACAACGACAACGACCACGACCACGACCACGACCACGACCACGACGACGACGACGACGACAACAGAAACAACAACAACCACAACCACAACCACAAAAAACCACAACAACCACAACAACCACAACAACCACACCAACAACAACAACAACCATAACAACAACAACAACAACAACAACCACAACAACAACAACAACAACAACGACAACGACAACGACAACGACAACGACAACGACAACGACAACGACAACGACAACGACAACGACAACGACAACAACCACAACCACAACCACAACCACAACCACCACCACGACCAACAACCAACAACAACCAACAACCAACAACCACCAACAACCAACAACCAACAACCAACCACAACAACACCAACAACCAACAACCAACGACCAACAACCAACGACCAAGTAACAACGACCAACCACCATCGACCAACAACCACAACAACAAACAACCAACAACCAACCAACCAAGGGACCAACCGACCAACCGACCGACCGACCAACCAACCAACCGACCAACCAATCAACCGACCAACCAACCAACCAACCAACAACAACAAACAAGCAACAAACCAACCAACCAACCAACCAACCAACCAAGCAAGCAAACAAACCAACCAACCAACCAACCAACGAACCAACCAACCAACCAACCAACCAACCAATCAACCAACCAACCAACCAACCAACCAACCAACCAACCAACCAACCAACCAACCAACCAACCAACCAACCAACCAACCAACCAACCAACCAACCAACCACCAACCAACCACCAACCAACCAACCACCAACCAACCACCAACCAACCACCAACCAACCAACAACCAACCAACAACCAACCAA